AATTTATTTGCTTTGGAAACAGATTTTTTAGTTATGAAAATATTTTAAGTCATTTTACGTATTATTCTTGAAAAATTTTAATTAAAACTTCGAACTCTGCCATCATCGTGGTTGAGTGAAACGTGTATACTGTTATTGTTAGGAAATAAATTCATTTAAAAATGAAAAATTTTTAATCAGGCGTAACCAAAAAATATGTATTAATTATATTTTGTCAGTCAAGTAGATTATCAAAAAATATTAGACACGAGTTTTTTTCTTTTTGGATATCAGCATAAACTGATAGATGAGATAAAAGCATGTCAAAATTATGCATGACTTTACAAAAGTTTTAAAAAAATTTTCAACTTTCTTAACGTCATGCGCCCCCTACTTCACTCTTTTACAAGCTTTATATACGTTATTGTTGGTTTAAGGCAAAAAAAAAAAAAAAAAAAACTGTAGTTATTTGATAATTTACCTAACAGACTTGATTAATTTTTTCTATAGTGACATCTTATTAGATAAAGATTTGTTATGAATTAAACTTTTTTTTCCGAAAAAAATATCCTCCTGTCGAAAAAATCAATCAGTACATCGCTTTTATTTCTTTTTCTGATTTTTTTTTACTATTGATTGGCCGTTACTCTAATTATTTCTGCAGTCTCTTTCAGAGTGGCTTGAACATTTGTTTTGTTTTTTGAACATATCTTTTTCTCTCCATACTTATTCAAACTTTTCGACATCATCTCACGCGACTTTGAATTTTTCAAATTGGCCTCTGTCCAGGCTATTGTTATCGGTTTTCATATGCATATTATTTTTGTCTCCTGGTACTTTTATAGTTCTGTTTATTGGACGTGCTTCTTTACCATTATGAAAACGAAAAATATTTTGTCGCTGAGTAATTTAATTTACACTTGGGTGGTTTTTGAAACCACAAAACAATTTTTCTTTGATTTTTTTTTTTTGAATCAAATTTTTAAGGTTCTAGCAGTTTATAAAAGAAAAGGCTAGCTTAAATAAACGTGAAATTTCGCCAGTGTGTCAAAAAATTGGTAAATCAAAAAATATTTGGATTGGTAGTATACCAAATTTTCAGTTAATATCTACTACCGCTTTTCAACCAGATTTTGCTCAAGAGATGATTTAATTTACATTCATATTTAATCATAATTTTAATTATAATATGATTCACGATGAATCAAACAATTTTTTTTATTCCTTACTATATTACAATGTAAAATGAGTACAATTTTTTTTTAATAATTCAAAAAGGGAACCTTTAAAGTTAATATTGTTGATCAGTCACAAACTAGCTTAAACATTCTCTTTATTTGTTGTTGTTATTATTGTTACAATTAAAATATTCTGGAGCTGTCAGTAATATGGGAATCTCATGGGCTAACCCGTTTGAACTGTTTACAGCAATTGCAAAAGCTCAAAGCTGAAAATGAGAGATTGAAAGCCGAAAATCGGGCACTTACCCGCGTGGTGTCCAAACTCACCAATACTACTAAATAGGTAAAGGACAAAAGATAAACAGACCAAAAAAAACGACATGCCTTATTTCTGGCATTTAACAAACTGTAAATTGTACGTCACGTGCAATGTATTATTAACTATTTGTTTTATCTTTATATATGTTTCATTGTTTTTTTTCTTAATCATTTGATAATTTTTATTTCTATTACATCTTTTTTTTTTTTTCTTAACTTCTTTTTTGTAAAGTTTTTATTTGGATTGCATTTTAATAAAATTTATATTANGCAGGTATTCTTTTATAAAAAATTTTTTCCAGGAATGTAGATGATTGATTATTACTATAATAAAAAATGTGATGATTCCTTAATCGTTATCATCGACATTATTTATTTTATTGTAATTATAAGTTACTTAAAACTAGTTTAAATTTTTTACAAACACGATAGTTAGCTTAGGACATGATAAATTTGATACTTTATAATTATGTATGAAGAAAAAAAGATCGTTACGAATTTAATGAAAGGTATTACAGCAGAATCATCGAAAAATTAAATTACACATAGAACTACTAAGTATTCACAATAATTTTAAGAATAGGATTTTATTAAATATAGTGATTATTTAAAAACAAGTAGGTTTGTAGTAGCGGAATGAATATCTTTTGGTACACCACATTGAAACTTGACCAAATAAAATAATTTATTCACCACAATACAAATAGAGTGTCAGAAGAGTGTGCCTTAAATGCATGAAATGTTGTTAGATATTTTTTGCACACTTACATACAATGAAAAAATAGTTGATTACGTGGTTTTAGGCGAATCAAAATGAATAGCATGGGTTGTCCGTAATGTTTGTTTTACTCTGCGTTTAGTTCCTAGAAACTTGTGATGGATCCAGTGAGTTTAAAAAATGTTGTGCACTTCTTTTTGGTTCAAGTGCTAAAATAAAACAGATGAAATAAACACTTGCAAAGTGTTTTATAATCAAATCTTCTGAAACTGTACTTTTTGGTTCTAAAAATAAAATTGAATTTCTCACAATCCCCTCAAACAGTTGGAAGTGTTTATTTAAGAAATCTTAACTATTTTTTTCCAAATAGATTAATCGTTTCGTAAAATAAAAAACCTATCGATATTTTTAGCTATTAACATTTTCTTTATAAATATTTGGCACAAAAAGAACGCACAATAAAAACAAGTTTAGTGGTGAGCCACGTTTTTAATCCAACACAAAAAATTCCTTTTAAACACTAACAATGATTTTTATTGTTTATAATCAGCCTCTGTACATTACATATATCGCTGCATAACAGTCCTAGTTTGACCATCCACGCAGCATTAACTGGATTGCAATTGTTTATTGTGTGTTTGGCAATTTTATATATTTTCACTCATCCCTGAACTTACTTTAATAATTGTAAAAATGTCGGTAATTAAAAGAACCTGACCTATATAGTTAATATACGTGTGAAAAATCATTTGTTATAATTAATTTCATGTATACATGGCAAACGATGATGTATTTACTCACACTTTAATTCTAGTAGCACGTTTTCAAACCGTTTTTTGTTTTAAAATTTATTCCCTTTGTTCCTACCTACTTTTAGTATAATAATAATTACATTTATGCATAAAAAACTTTAGCATTACTATTTTTTTTAATAAGTTGAGTAATGTATATATTAATTAATTCGATGAATTTTTTGTATTAAAACAATTTTTTTAAGCATTTAACAAAATTTTTTCCATGTAAAATTGTACACAAAAAAAAAAATTATAAAAGTGTCAAAGTTTTTTAAAAAAGTATTTGTTAAAATGTTTTTTAATAAACTTTTAATTTCAAAAAAAAACATCGTACAGGTAATTGCATTAAAATTTTTTATTAACTATTGTGTCCAAGTATATGCATTGCATATAACAATCGAATTAGAAAATTTTTTGTGTTAGATTGTCTATTAGATTAAACGTCATTGTACATTATGTGATCTGCAATTAAAGAGTATTTGATTTAATAACCCTATACTTTAAACTTTNGTACATGACCCAATCGCTTTTGTTCACTGGTAGTCTGAGCTGTTCAATGGACCGCGCGTAAGAGAACAGAGTGAGGTTCAATACACTGTCGAAATAATGTCCAGGTGATATGTCCAGCGCCTTGTAGTAGTGCTCGAGTTTTTTGTCGTCCAGCAGCTCGTCCGGGTAAGCTATGAAACTGTTCATCGCGTCTATCTTGTCAAGAGCAGCTGCTCGCGTCTCCTCGTCCATCCAGTCGACCTGTACACACATAAATATATATTCTGCATTTATTTATTTATTTTTTTCATCAAGTTAGTGAACAATGTAATTAAAGTTTTTATCTCTACATGAAATGTTTCATAAACACTCGGGTAATTTATCACCAGATTCAATTATTGATTAAAAAAATTTTTTCTAACTCTTTGTTGTACGATAAAATTAATTGCTCTCGATTCAAATGAATCATTGACACAATCGATAGCTATCACACACGCTATTAAAGCTATTATTCTCTGTTTATTGAAACATTATCATTGTGAATTTCTGAATAAGAATTAGCAATTTTTTAAATCATCACTATAGGAAAAAAATTACTGATTTGAGTACTGTAACAGAGTATTATGGTAACTAACAATTTGATAATACTCCAGTCAGTAAGAAAAAAATTGTAATGAGAACATTTAGAGTAAAGAATGAATTATTAAATTATTGTTTCTTTGGAAAAAATTTGGACTGATAAATTTGTGATTTTTTATTATTAATGTAAATTGAGAGCGTAAGTATAAGCTTTTGTAGATTTTTTAATTAATTAGAACTATCACTTTTACTTGGCATCTTTGTCAATGATATCCATGTAAGTACTTTCTTATAAAATTTATGCATTTGAGCCTGAATATCAAACTTGACTATCAGCTACATTTTACGGACCATTTTTTTCAAGAGGTAGAAAATAAAATGTTTGTATGCCATTTACAAAAAAATAACCCTTACAATTTATAAATAAAAAATTCTATTTCGTTGAGTAAGTGCGAGTAAAAGACTATTGGCCACAACAATCGTGCCTAAGCTCACGGCAATTTGCGAAATTCACGAAAACAACGATCATTGGGCAATCAGGATTTGCAGCGACGGAAAATTATAGATTGCAGTGCACAGCTTCATTCCGTCGAAATGACAAATGGAAATATTAATGCAAGGGTCGAGGCACAGGTGGGTACATGTAACGCACACTGACCTTCTCGATGACACACACAGACACACATCTATAAACAAATTTTAAAATGTTTTTTAATAAACTTTTAATTTCAAAAAAAAACATCGTACAGGTAATTGCATTAAAATTTTTTATTAACTATTGTGTCCAAGTATATGCATTGCATATAACAATCGAATTAGAAAATTTTTTGTGTTAGATTGTCTATTAGATTAAACGTCATTGTACATTATGTGATCTGCAATTAAAGAGTATTTGATTTAATAACCCTATACTTTAAACTTTTAAAAATATTTGAAGTATAATTGTATTTGGATAAGTACTCGATATGACTGATAGCCATTGGCCAAACATTTAATAGAAATATAGTTTGTTTGTATATGTTTTGAAAACGTATCTTATTGTTTTTGCAAAGCACCAAAACTGATTTTTGAGAAAATACAAAAATATGTACACATTTCCCTGCCATATACCCACCCTTCCCGTGTTATATTTAAAAACATCTTCATTGTGTATACATATATTGTTATCGGTTTTCATATGCATATTATTTTTGTCTCCTGGTACTTTTATAGTTCTGTTTATTGGACGTGCTTCTTTACCATTATGAAAACGAAAAATATTTTGTCGCTGAGTAATTTAATTTACACTTGGGTGGTTTTTGAAACCACAAAACAATTTTTCTTTGATTTTTTTTTTTTGAATCAAATTTTTAAGGTTCTAGCAGTTTATAAAAGAAAAGGCTAGCTTAAATAAACGTGAAATTTCGCCAGTGTGTCAAAAAATTGGTAAATCAAAAAATATTTGGATTGGTAGTATACCAAATTTTCAGTTAATATCTACTACCGCTTTTCAACCAGATTTTGCTCAAGAGATGATTTAATTTACATTCATATTTAATCATAATTTTAATTATAATATGATTCACGATGAATCAAACAATTTTTTTTATTCATGGGCTGAGC